AAATATGTCTATTGTACTCCTCCTTCTTCCTTGTCATATATAAAATCAAAAACTTCCAGGCACGTTACTGGCTTTTGATGTAGTGTAAAATGAGCTGTGAAACCCAGGCTTGGCAATTTTTGTTTTTTTCTCCAAAAGTTTTTACTTCTTTCTAGGCAGCATCTGAGGAGCCAGAAAAACAGAAGATGTTGGAAATTGATCCTGGTTGTGCATGATTAATACAACACAGGGAAGTCCAGGGTTCTTGATGAAGAAGACAGTTCTAGTACCTTCCCTTAGGAATTCAATAGCATGTTTAACATGTATAACTCCTGAGTCGCTTTTTCCTTAACATATATAAAATTCTTTATTAATGCACTTTGGACATAGGGAAGCCTGTTCATATATCTTCTATATGTCTGTGATTTATTTTGAGAGGAATAAAATACTTATTAATCATTTGAGTTCAGGATATGAAATAATTTTTCAACTTGTCCAGATGAGCCTGTCCGGTTAAATTCTATCATCAATTGTAGGAGATGGTAGAAACTTGGCCTTGAGTGTCAATCTGTCTTCAGACACAGTTTTAATTTCAGTTTCCACCAGTGCCTCCGTGGCTTGACAGTGAATTATGAGTTTCCCCTCTCTCAGCTAGACAAGTCGCTCACAGATTTCCTGATAAAGTAAACCACATTCTGGCGTTACTGTAGATAAACGTGATTGTTTTCATGAGAATAAAACTCTCTTTTCTTGTGTCCTTTGTGAAAATTGCATGTGTAAAATAAGCCACACGACATATAAAATGGTAATTATACGCATCGCGCATTTCTCTCTTTGACAATCCTGCACTGCATACAAAAAAATCAATTCTCATCAGTGAAGAAGAAAACGTGAGTAGCAAAGAAATATCATTCTGCTAATAATCCCCACAGGCCAAGGCAAACTCCTCCGTAGCCTCTTTACTTCCCAACGTGACAGTTTAAATGGCAAGAATACTTTTAAATACACCATTTGATACGACCACGGGAGAACACGGAACAAAGAATCAATTCAATGTATCCCAATATGGATGAGAACACATAAAACAAAATAAAAGGGCAGGATTAATTTTAAAGAAGGAAACATAAGGTCAGTATGTTTTAATGACTGCCCATCCCAGTAGAGATCGATGGCTGAAAATGTTTTAGAAATAAAACAATTTATGCTGAGTAACGTGAGGAAAGTTGATCAGGCTATGCCAATGAATACCTGGTGTGGCCTTTGAGACGATAGAAATTGAGATTATCAATTTGTCTGTGCACTCTGCCTGGGTCTATGTAAGTGTCACACAGGTGTTCGGTGTTGTTTTAAGGCTGAGTGTAGTAAGCTGCGTGTGGCCCTGACAGCACAGGCGTGTGGAGAAGGGCCGGGGTGGACATGGTGGGACAGACACAGGGCTGAGGACCATGCCTGGGCCCCAGCAGAGGACCGTGTGTGGCAGCAGGGGGCCAGCAGGATCGAATCAGCAATGGCTGGGGACAGTCTCATCCGAGAACAGATACACAACAGAAGACAGCGGGACACGTGAACTCGATTTTGCAGTCGGTGCGTTCTGTTCCACTCCACTGTGTCTTGACATAACCAAGTACACCACAGAACATTGATGTGCAGCCACGAAATCATACATTAACAGCAACTGCAGAATTTAAACGTTAGGGATGGACTTTACAGATTATTTTATGTTATGGCATCTTGTACATGGGAAAGGAAGCCCTCGTGGGGGCATTAAGGATCATTGCAACACCGCCGAGGAGATCATACTTGGAGAAGTGACGAAATTAAAGAGATTATTATACCCACAGGTCTTAGAGACAGGAGGCAGGACACTCTGAACAGGTGCTGTAGGGGGTGAGCTCCCAGGAAGAGGACTGGACCAAGCCAGTCAGGAGAGGGAGGGAAGGGAGAAGGGCGGGGAAGGGGGGAAAGAGAGGGAGAGAGAGAGAAACACAGAGAACGTTAGATCTATTAATATCTCAATGACCCCTGGTCCTGGGTTCCCAGTGTCAAGAGTGGGTCCTGGGACCGAGTTGAGTTGATGACAGGGTGATCACAAACACAAATCACCCCACAAAGGCAGTTTATTACAGCAAAGAAAATAATTATACAGAGTGAAAGAAGGAAGCTACTCAAAGTGCAAATGCGTTCCAGAGAGAGGAACACGTCAGTCTCCAGGAGTGGAGAAAGACTCTGAGGACTCCCAGGTGGTCTCCTTGTGTTGTCCTGGTCCAGGGGAGGCTTACCAGAGGTGTGGGATGTCACCAGGTGATTGTCAGGTGTTCTGAGGTTTCCTGTAGTCCCTGCCCCTGATTGGTCCCTGGCTCCTCCACGCCCAGAAACCACCCTCCTGGCCTACCCCTCCACCTGCAGATCTGATCCCTACCTAACAAGACGGAGAGAGAGGTGTGTCCTTCACCTCCAAAATACCTCTAACCCTTGCTAGGTAAAGGCAAAGTTATAAAATCTAACCAAAATGTTAAAAAAAAAAAAACATTTATCAGGTGTCGGGCAGGTGGGAGGGAGGAGGAGGGGATGGGTATATATATATATACATATATATATATATATATATTATAAGTGCTATGTGCATTGTCAGGGGGATGGACATGCTTGAAGCTCTGACTCAAGGGGAGGAGGGAAGGCAAGAGCAATGTATGTAACCTTAACATTTGTATCCCCATATTATGCTAAAATAAATAAATAAATAAGAGGGGGGGAGAGAGGGAAAGAGAGAGAGGGGGAGAAAGTCCCCACGGGCAAGTGACTTTACTGGGAGTCAAGGAGAATACACAAGCAGAAGTCATGAGGGGGTCTTGTGGCACATTTGAATGTGACGAAGTCCCAGCAGAGGAGGGAACGGAGGGGAATTTGGGGCAGGAACCAGCCTTATCACGCTGGTGCACCTGGTCGCCCAGGCAGGGTGCTCATAGTCTGTCTGTGGGGATGTTGAGACAATCCCCACAATATAGATGAACACACACACACACACACACACCTTTAATCTTGTCTTTTTCCCAAAACTAATTTGTGCTGGAACAAGCACCAGCGCAGCGGCGGGCCGGGTCTACGGCGGTGCTGGCGGATTAGCGCCCGCCTCTGACAGCGCTTGTCGGTGCAGATAAGATGCTCGGGGAGACGCAGGGCGATAAAGGGAGGCTGGGGGGGGGGAGAGAAACAAAGACTGTGGGGAGACGCTCTCCAGTTATTCTCTTCTTTGCAGGGAGGTCAAAAGTCTACCATGCATGATTAAAATTTTAATTAAATATGCTCAAATTCTACTTTAAAATGTAGTCTCACTATCCATCGAATACTTTGAATTCTCCAATAAGATAATAAATCTCTGTTGCCATAGGAATTTTACTCCCCGAAATGTGATTAAAAGTAGGTTTTTGTTATCTGGTAGAACTCATTATGTGGATTAGTTGTCAATAATGTTAGAGAGATTTCTTGTTAGATACGGTAAGAAAGAAGGAAATTAACATGTGCTGAGGTACCACAAACGCCAACCGTCGTTGCTCGTTTTTCAGGCATGAGCTCAGGCACTTTTATTTATTTATTTATTTATTTTTTTTTGCCAAAATTGCAGGTAAGTATTATCATCCATTTTATATCTGAAGAAATTGAGGCACAAAAACAAAATATTTAGTACCAGATCCCAGTACTGAGAAAGCAGGGAGAACCAAGTCTGTGGCCCTGAAGCCTTTGAACCCAACACCACACACTCTGTGGCTCTTTCCAACAATCCTGAAAGGAACGCATGATTTGCTTTCCCAAATGGACTTTCCAGAAATTAAACATACTATTCACTGAGCGTTGGGAGGATTCCATGGAGCAATAAAATCTCTAAAAAAAAAAAAATATGAAAATGAGTTTTAAAAAATATGAAACAAATTTGCTCCAGAGCTGTGGCTTTGTTCTGGAATTACTGGGAAACATGACATCATGGATTGACAATGTGCACTGGCGACGTGGCTTCAATGTAAGGGAGTTTTCAAGAAAAGGGATACTGGAGATTCAATCTGTACTGCTTTTGTCTGGAGGTTTAGCCGTTTCTCTCTGCCTGTAGCTGCATACGGTGACATCACCCTAACAGAAATGGAAGAAACGCCTTGCCAAATTTAGAGCATACTTGAACTTTGTGATTTCATGCATTTGAAATAAACTCGGATCTTTAGAAGTCAGTTTGTGAACTATAAAATAAAAGAACATTACTTCCTTTTCCCAAGAAAAGCGCCTCTCAGCAGCTTCTTGGACATCACATTTCCTCCACGACTCCAGACTTCCAGTGAGCTAAGTGTGAGTAAATTGGAAACATATGCACCAAGTTGTCTCCGGGTCTGACTGTTATAAAGGAAACACTCACATGTTCTAACAATAAATACACCACTATGGGGATTTGGGTACAAATCTAGCTGGGTTAAAAACTCATAATTTAACACCTTGATGGGAGCGCAACTTGTGTTCACCAACTCCAACGCTTAGTTATCAATCCATTTTAAACTCAAGTCTAAATATAATTTAAGATGAAACACTCCCTTGTGGCAGTTCTTTCAAGCAGTAAAGTCACTTCAGAAGATAAACAAGTAAACGAATAAATGAAAAGAAAACAAAACTGAAAGAGGTGGGGGGAAAATCTCCCTTTGATTCAGGCATTGCCATTTAGCCTCATCTGAAAGGCGAGACTGGGTGGGCTAATTTTTATATTATATAAGACAAATGGTTCTCAGGTGTTTTGTTTTTTCTGCTTGACTGAGAGGAACTGAAATTGATTTACGCTTGACAAATAGCATGCAACATTATACAAACACAAAAAGAGTGTGCAACACTGTTGTAGTTAAATATCAACACTTCATCAGCCACTCAACGCACCTCCCAAGGAATCTGCTCTCTGATTTATTTTCACGTTATTGGGAACTGGTTTTAACTGTTTTCGTCTGTATTGGAGGATGCAAGTGACCCCAGAAAATGTGCCCTAGAATCCGTACCTTGAGATGACTTGGAAGGATGAGAGCTGTCACTCTCTGGATGGATCTTTATTTTTTGAGTATAATTTCACCCATGATCAATAGATCTGGAAAGAAAATAAAAGAAGTTTTGAAATTTGTAACTCTCTGCTTCAATTCTCACTCCATATATTCTTACATCAACACCCTCATTGTATCATAACATGTTTGACAAACTCTGGATTCTGTTCACCTTATAAGGCATCTTCCCGGATGGAATGCAGCCAGCCTGGTATATTTCATCAGCCTTCAAAGATTGGTGCAGTTCCAGGGCAGGATGACTGTGTTTTGGCAAAAACAGCGAAGCCGAGAGCAAGTATGTGGGGGAATTTAAAATCAATCTAATCTTTCATAACAGCACCAATTGCCCTTTTATTTTTAAAGTCCCCAAACGATAAAGGATGGTTATGGAACTGCATCTTAAGCAGTCAGTAGATTGTTTTTCTAATTGGTGGTGTTTTTTTTTTTTTTCCTTCTTAATTTGAACACTGATGTTTTTCTTCTTGATTTGAACACACCATTTCCTCAAGCGGGAGCAGGAGGAATTTGAGAACTACGACTTTTGTGCACTTCTGTGCAACCTTGGCTTTGTCGAGGCGGGATTATATCACCGTGACATTTAAGGAGGAAAAAACAAGCTGTTCCGAGTTATGTCAATCTCACTTGTAATCTATTTTTGAACAATGTACTATAAAGATATTCCTGTTCACACAGAACTAGTGATTTACCCTCTGGTGGGTTCTACCCTTACAGCTGCTTGGCGATAAATAAAGCCAGAGCAGAGAGAGGGAGAGTATAATTAAAAATTAACTGCACCCAATTGGCTTCTCTCTGCTTTCATTTTTGCATGCTTGTTTGATGAGGTACTTTTCAAGTCTTTTTAATTGCAATATAAAATAAGGCCTCTGGTAATCAAAAGCTCTTTGGAACAAAAAGTAGGAAGGGGGTTGTCCACCTTGGCTGTCCTCAAATCTTATTTCCTGGTTTTTCGTCTCAACCTGGCTGCAGTTCTAGTAACTCTGGGGAGTACCTTGTCCGAACAAAACCTGGTGCTGCCATGACCACACTGAGGATCCAGGACCTTGATTTTCCTATGAATCTCTCCCTTGGTATGGAAGCTCTTATCTTTTTAGTTCAGCCAAGACAAAAAACTAGGCAGCATTCAGAGAAGTGCTTTGACAATTGAGAAAAAGAGGGAAAACAAGAAAAGAGAAGGAGAGAGGGAGAAATAGAGAAGGAAATGTATATATATAGAGAGAGATAGAGGGAGAAATATATAGAGAAAGAAGGAGAGAAATAGGGAGATGGAAACATACACGCATACGAAGAGAGAAGCAATTTAGGTACACACTATAAAATTTCTAAAATGATTAGTAGCCATAAATGTGTTGGGTCATCACTCTGTTTACAGGTGTTTGCCTGTTACTTTCCTCTGTAGTGAGAAGTTTGCTGTTAACATATTCTCTGTTCAGTTCTCATGGCTGGTGATCCCTTTCAGTAAGATGCAGCTTCTCCACCCATCTGCTCTTGAGCATGTGTGTGTGCGCCTGGTGATTTCAGGCTTGAAGGTGGGCACTGTTGTTCACTTAACAAAACCTGCATCGCTTTAGGTTTCTTCCGTCGCTGGAAGCAGAAAACCGCTCTTCCCTTTCCCGTGTTCCTGGGCTGCACCTGACAGCCCATTCCGCTCCCATACCCTGTCTGAGATGTCCTCACGTTGAACAAAGACGCACGGCACCTGTGACACCCAACCCGCCAGGAAATCCTGCTGGCTCCACCACTGTAATGTATCCAGAATCCCACAAGTTCTCCCCACTCGCCTGCAACCACTGCAGCAGACGGAACAACCCTCCTCTCCCCCTGGATCCACAGGAGCGCCCCTGATCCCCATTCTTGGGATGCGTCTTCTCCAGTACTCCAGGCCCTGCAGCAAGAGCAGCCCTGCAGAAATAAACACAGGTGCTCGCTGGGCAGCGCTGCTACTAAAACCACAACATGCAGAGAAGATTAATGTGGTTCCTGAGAAAGCATGACATGGAAATCCATGAGGCATCCCAGATTTTTTTGCCAATATACTAAAACCCACTGAATTGTACACGCTAAAAAGGGTGGATTTTATGGTATGTGAAATATATCACCATTAAACTACTGTAAACTAAATAAACAAAAGCAAATCATGTCCACCCTCTGCTCAAAGCCCTAAAATGATCGTTTATTTCATCGAGAGAAAAATAGATGTTCTTAAAACAACCTACAAAACTTCCTGAGATCTAGCGCCCATTCCTAACAATCCGACCCTCTCTCTAATGATTTCCGTCTCACTCCAGCTGGACGCCAGTTGCACTGTTCCGGAATGAGCCAGGTACCTGCTCCACCCGCTGTCTCCTCGTTGAGTATGTTCTCCTGTATAGGCCAATGCTACCAAATGGAAAGTCACTCTCTAGTATAAATTAAAAATTCTCATTAGGCAGCTATGACATTCTTCACGTTCTAGGATCTGCGGCATAGTAATATGAACGATAGACAAGATTTCTTTTCACACTGGAATCTCATCCTCGTGGGTGAACAGATAGCAAACACATCAGCAATTAAGATATTAGATATTTACAAAGAGTAATATGTCATAAAAAGTGAAGCCAGGCATCACGCTAGCGTGTGACCACAGTTCTCACACTAGAAGAGGTGACCTGGGAAAACCGCCCTGAAGAGGTGACATTGAGTTCAGAATCGAGCCAGCCATGCAGACACCTGGGCCAAGAACATTCCAGAGACTGAGTGAATTCTGGTGGGTTTGAGAAAAAAAAAGGATGCAATATGGAAATCTTGTAGAACCTGCCGTGCTGAGATTGGGAAATAGGCAAGTGCCTTGCGGGGCAAGGTTAGGAGATGGATTTTATTCTAAGTGCCTTGGGACGCGCCAATGAAGAATTTTCTACAGGGAACCCTGTGACTTTATTGCTTTTAACATTTACATGGAAATAATATTAGACTTTAAAAAGTTACGAAAGTAGTGCACAGAGGTCCCACATGCCCTTGACAAAGCTTTCCCTTATGCTAGCATCATTCATAACTGTAGGGCAGATATAGAAGTCAGGACATTAACATCAATGTGTTATTTATGTACAGAGTTTACTCGAATTTGCCAATTACCTACTAATGTCATTTTTCTGGTTCAGAATCCAATCCAGGATCCCACAGGGCATTAGCTGTCATGACTTTTTCTATTGTATGGATTTAAGGTATACAACATGATGTCTTGATATATATATATATATATACATAGTGATATTAACATAGCCATCATTTCACATAGTTACCTTTCTCTTCCTTGGTGCTGAGAGTACATAAAACCTACTCTCTTAGTGCATTTTCAGTATACAATACAACGTTATTACCTTCAGTCCCCAAGTGCACATTAACTTATTCGTCTGAGATTACTGCATCCTTTCACCTTTACCCTTTGACTTATGTCCCCCTACCTCCTGCTCACAAACTTATTCTGTTTTCTTAGTGTTCACTGATCTGGGAGTAGTATTCGTTCATATTTCTTTGTCTTTTAAGACCTTGACACCTTTGAAGAGTATTGACTAATTATTTTCTAAAATGTCTCTCAATTTGGATGTGTCTGATATTTTCTCATGGTTAGATTGAGTTTTTGGTGAGAATACCACAGAGTTAGTAATAGAATATGCCATTCTCAGCACATTCATATGATGAGTATGCAATGTTGATACGCATCATAACCAGTAATGTTAAATTACATCTTGTAGCCAAGACAAGGGTTGCCAGATTTCTCCACCATAACATTACAATTTTTCCTCTTGTAATTGGTAAGTTTCTTGTGGAGATATAATTGGAGACTATGCAACAAGTTTGTGTCTTTCTTCACCTACTAATTTTCTAATTTGTTGGTGATTGATGTAACAATTATTACTATGGTGTTTGGCAAATTTTTCACTTCTTTTTTTTTTCTCCTTTTATTTCACCATATTATGGGGGTATAAATAATGTTAGGGTTACATATATTGCCCCTGCCACCCCTCCCCCCACCCCCACCCCCACCATGCCAGAGCTTCAAGCATGTCCAACCCCTAGGTAGTGCGCACCATACCCATTATGTAAATATACACCCTTCCCCTCCTCCCCCCCCACCTGCCCACCACCTGCCCACCACCTGATAAAACCTTTTTTTTTTTTTGACATTTTGGTTACATTGTATACCTTTGCCTCTCCCTAAGAAGGGTTAGAGGTATTCCCTTCCTCCCCACACACAATGCTTGCCATATCCCTAAGATGTGGGTCTCCCCCCCCGCCCCAAATCTCTGGTGTACACTACCACCATTTGAGCACCATAGTTTTGGTCAGTCAGTACCAATTTGATGGCGAGTAGATGTGGAGTCCATTTTCCAGATCTTGTGTCACCTCACTTTGGATAACGGGCTTAAGCTTAATACAGGATAGCATAAATGGTGCTAGCTCACTGTTGTTTCTTAGAATTGAGTAATATTCCATTGTGGGCATATACCAAATTTTAATTATCCACTCATGAGTTAACGGCCACTTGGGTTGTTTCCATGACTGTGCAATAGTGAATTGTGCTGCCATAAACATTTGTGTGCAGAAGTCTTTGTAATAGAATGTCTTATGCTCTTTTGGGTAGATGCCCAACAATGCTATTGCTGGGTCGAATGGTATTTCTATTTCTAGCTGTTTGAGGTATCTCCAAATTCTTTTCCACAAAGGTTGCACTAATTTGCAGTCCCACCAGCAGTGTAAGAGTGTGCCTGTCTCTCCACATCCTCACCAGCATTTGTTGTTTTGGGATTTCCTGATATAGGCCATTCTCACTGGGGTTAGGTGGTATCTCATTGTGGTTTTGATTTGCATTTCTCTGATGATTAGAGATGTTGAGCATTTTTGTATATGTTTGCAGGCCATTATTCTGTCTTCTTTGGAGAAGTTTCTGTTCATTTCCATTGCCCATTTCTTGATGGGGTTGTTGATTTTTTCTTGGTAAATCTTTTAAGTTCTAGATAGATTCTTGTTATTAGACCTTTATCAGAAGTGT